CTACACGCTTGTAATGATGAAATCTTTTTATCTTATATAATTTTAGAATTATATAAAATAAATCACTATTTAAATTTCAATTTTTTAATTGTGTATATAAAAATATAAATTTGCAAATAATCTATCTAACAATCTAATCTACCAATAATGAATAAAACGAATTTTCGTGTAATCCACAAATGGAACTGTCGTTTCAATGTCATGTCTATCCCATAAGCGTTAACCCATAAAAGTATTGACACGAAAAATCCGAACAAAGCCGTTTAAATATTAACACGATTGATTCTTGGTAACTCGGTCAGGCAATGTTCACCTTTATGAGTTTTATCTTGACCGTCAGTGACAACCCGTTGGTCTAGGACGAAAAAAGATTAGCGTATCCCCTCATGGATGAGTTGGTCATAGATTGTAGAGAATTTCTAAATTTATAATCGTATTTTGAAATACGTTCTTTACTATAGCGATATCTATATTCGAATGAAAACACGAGAAGTTTTGATATATTTGGAATTTGTTACTTTTGTAAAAATTTATTTTTTGTTTGCAAAATAATTGTTCGTTAATAAAAAATTTGAATAAATATCGAATGAAGGGAATACTTGATAAGAACAATATTTATTGTAAAACTGACCTAGTAATACAACTGAAAAAAATTAAAAAATGTTGGAAAAGATAATATGCTTTTAAATTAAATACGATACACTGTTCGTTATTTTCTAAAATATATGCGATACTTTAAATAAAAATATTAACATAATTAAAATAAATTCCACTAAACCAAACACCAAGAAGTGTAATGAATAAAAATTTTCCTAATATTGATGAATTCTACGCAATGATAAAGTTAATAATGATAATAATGATAATAATGATAAATAATAAAGTTAATAATGATAAAGTAATTAATAATTTAAAACTATCCAATATATTAACAATTTAAAACTATATATTTTGAACTATCAAATATGTTAAAAGTTTAAAGTATTGATTAAAAATTTTACGTAAAATTTTACCTATTAGTATCCATAAAAAATTTGTTAAATTATTAGTTATTGTAAACCTCATTTCAAAAGTTCATTTTCCCTAATTAAAAGTTTTTCCACTAATTCAAATTAGAATTTAGCGATTATTTTTAAACTATCACATTCTAAACGTTTTTTTTTTTTT